GATCCCCATGATGCGGGCGCTGATGCGGCTGACCTTTGGCCGAACGAGTTCCCGGCTGATGCTGGTGATGCTTGGCCTTGGGCCGGTATGGGCCGGTCTCGCCTGAATGAGTCCCCGGCTGATGCTCATGTTGCTCCGCCCCGCCTGCCTGAAAGAAGCCCGGCTGATGTTCGTGATGCTGCTCCTGGGGCTGACCCTGAACTTGGTAGCCCAGTAGTCATATCAAAATAAGGGCACCCTTTTTTGGCTGGTTACTTTGTAAGGGAACGTTGAACCAAAAAAAAGGGAAAAGGGTACCACTGGGCTACCAAGTGAGAGATTCACAGGCCGATGCTCACGATGCTTGGCATTCGGCCATTCTCGCCTGAAAGAGGGTCCAGCTGTTCTCATGATGTAGGCCCTAAGAAACTCTCAACCATCAGCCCGAAACAACCCTCAACCCTCAACCCTAAACAATCCTCCACCCTGAACCCTAAACAACCCTCAACCATGCACCCTCAACCCTTAACCATCCACCCTAAAACCCTAAACCCTAAACCCTCAACCCTAAACCCTCAACCCTCAACCCTAAACACTAAACCCTAGTCAGCTCCGGAGAGGTGGCCTGGTGGGTCCCGACCACGCTTCCCGGGCGCCGCGAAGCACCGCGACGAGGGCAAACCCAGCAAGGGCCCAAGAGCCTGGGGGTTCCAGGTATGGGTTTAGGGTTTAGGCCTAGGGTTTAGGGTTTAGGGTTTAGGGTTTAGGGCTTAGGGTTTAGGGTGTAGGGTGAAGGGTGTAGGGTGTAAGCTTGAGGGTGGAGGACCGCGGGTTCTCTGGAGGGATAAAAGCAGATTAGGTACCCTATATACCCCTACACATGCCCTCAAAGGTCTGAAATATGGGTATCTATAGCTCCCTACTTAGAACCAATAAGTTGAAAGAGCCCGAAACCTCCATGCCTAAGAAGTTTAGGGTTTAGGGTTTGGGGTTTAGGTTTGTGGGGATTTAGGTAGGGCTCAGGGTTTGGGGTCTGGGAGTAGGCAGTCGACAAAGATAAGGCAGAATTCCCGGCGTTAAGTCTGAGCAACTCCCTGCAGGCTCATAGTAGGGAATCAGGGAATGTGGTACCCTACATATTCCTTTTAAGGGGTATAGACGGTATAGATAAGGTGGATAGAAGGTAACGAATTCCCTAATTCCCTTCTAAGAAGCAGTAGGATTCTGGGGGAGGCTTCGCAATGTTGAACAAGAGGGGGCCTGAGCGGCGTTTCGTTGACGCCATGGCTGCGCAGAGCCAGCGTGCAAGTGCGCTAAGTATTAACAGTTTCGTGTTGGCAATGCAGTTCAGTATCGAAAATACTAACTGTGTATTTGGCAGTAAAGATATATATATATACATATATATATATATGTAGATATGTGCATATTCTAGATGATAAAATCTTGATACTTACATAGTAGATAAAGTTTGATTTGAGAATCTAATGACGAGACTTGGCAGATGGCGCATGTTCCCGGACCAAACATGCCATTGACCTTATAACCCTTGCACCTTTAAACCCTCAACTCTAAACCCTAAACCCTAAACCCTAAACCCTAAACTCTAAACTCTAAACTCTAAACCCTAAACCCTAAAGCCTACATGTTTAGGGATTAGGGTGTGGGGCGTAGGGGTATGAAGCTTGCAAGGCCCTCCGCATGGAAACCTCCTAACTGCTGCCATGGCCATGACACTGGAGCCTGAGGGGCCTTTCAGGCACCAAGCTGCACAAGGCTGGAGCGTGCAAGAACACCTCCCTATTTAGGGTTTAGGGCTTGGGGGTTAAAGTTTAAGGTTTAGGGCTTCGGGGTTAGAGATTAGGGCTTCGGGGTTAGGGTTTAGGGTTTCGGGGTCTAGGGGAAAGCCCCGAAGCAAGCAAACAAGAAGAAGGTGAACGCCCGTGAGCATGAGCACACAAAGCTTGACTCAAGGAAAACATCAGCCTTGCAACGCCATGGCCTCCAGACATAACCCTAAACGCCAAACACCCAATGATGCAGCGTACAGTCACCTTTGCTGTATGGAAGGCTTCAAAAAGGACTCCAGAAGGACTACATACGTAAGGGGATCGAACCTACCCGGGTCTATTGTTTAGGGCGAAGAGCTTCGGATTTCTCTGAGGGCACCTTTAAGGAAGGGTTCAGGGTTTAGGGTTCAGGGTTCAGGGCTTTAGGGGTTAGGGTTTCGGGGTTTCGAACTTGAAGGTTTCGGGCTCTGAGGGCGGGTTTCAGGGCCGACCAAGCAGCCTAACACAAATTGCCTGCCCTGCTGCCAGCGCCGATTGCATCTGCTCGCCTGCTTGGCAGCCCAACAACCACGCAATGATGAGGGGTGCCCTGTTTTGGGACAGCGCGGATACGATTTTACGAAGTCTGAAGGAACCCATCAGCCCAAAAAGGGCAACAGGGTACTACTGGGGGTACCAAGCCATGACTCAGTCCCTCCCCGAGCCTAAACGCTCCATATCCCCTAAACCCTACACCCTAAACCAAATGCCCTAAATGCCCATCTACACCCAAACCCTATACCCTAAACCCGAAATGCCCTAAACCCTAAACCCTAAACCCTAAACCCTAAACCCTAAACCCTAAACCCTAAACCCTAAACCCTAAACCCTAAACCCTAAACCCTAAACCCTGAACCCTAGATGCCCTACACCCTAGCAGACCCTGAGGCTCCAAAGCATTGCATTGCAAGGGGGACGGGGGGGGGTTCATGGGGGGAAAGTGCTCATACCCCCAGCTCCTGAAGCCCAAACCCTGCACCCTCTAACCCTAAACCCCTAAACCCTAAATCCTAAACCCCTAAACCCTAAACCCTAAACCCTAAACCCTAAACCCTAAATCCTAAACCCTAAACCCTACACCCTGAACTTCGACCCCAAACCCAGAAACTTGAAGCACAAGCCCGAACCCACTCCCCCAAACCCTGAACCCGGAAGCCCAGACAGGCTCAAGTCAAAATGACTCCGCGGCACCTCGGTTTAGGGTTTAGGGTTTAGGGTTTAGGGTTTAGGGTTTAGGGTTTAGGGGGGCTCACAAGGCCTTAACTCCCAAAACCCGGTGCAAATCGGACCCTGGGCTAAAGCATCGGACCACCAAATCCGCGGATCTAGGGCTCAGGGAAGTGGTTTCGGGTTTGAGGTTTGGGGTTTAGGGTTTAGGGTTTAGGGTTTGGGGTTTAAGGTTTGGGGTTTAGGGTTTAGGGTTGATATATTGGGGATGTTCCCCCTTGCCCTTAGACTAACCGCCATTTAATGGGGATTATAGTCTCCCCCTATTCTGGTCCCTTTTAAGGACTGTTTGTATAAGGGGGAACATCCTGATTGATGTAGGGTTTCGGGCTTAGGGTCCGGAATACTTCGCTTCGAAGGTAACGGCGAAGGATTGTAACTCTGCAATAAAAGGCGTGAGGTTGCGTTATAGGATTTATAGGTTTTTCATGGGGTTTAGGGTTTAGAGGTTTATAGGGTTTGTGGGGTTTAGGGCTGGAAGTTGGTTGCAAAGATCCCCCACCCGAAGCACTTAAGAATCCTGGCACCCAGGGGTGTTCTGCTTGACTTGCCCGCGGCCAATGATCATCGAAGGTAGGGAGGGTCGCCCTTACATACTATATTTCCTACAGCTTGGGATGTTCCCCGAAAAAAAGCAGCCCTTAACAGGGACAGTAGAAGGGGTACCAGTCCATAGGGATTGGCAGCCTGAGGTAGACCCTAAACCCTAAACCCTAAACCCTAAACCCTAAACCCTAAACCCTAAACCCTAAACCCTAGACTCCTAAACCCTAGCCCATGACTTGCAACCGAAATGGGCCTCGCCACTCGACTTGCAAGCTGCGTTGGGAGGGGGGAGGCTGGAGTCTCGGTTTCAGGGATGTGGGGGGTAGGGTGGGGGGGAGGGTTGGGTTTAGGGTTTAGGGTTTAGGGTTTAGGGTTTAGGGTTTAGGGTTTAGGGTTTAGGGTTTAGGGTTTAGGGTTTAGGGTTTAGGGTTTAGGTTTTAGGGCTTAGGGTCTAGGGTTTAGGCCGGGCCACTGTTCAGCATCTGCTGCATCTGCTCGCTGTTGTACATCTCCTTCTCGCGACATTCATCGGGGACACTGCAGGGGCCACCCTAAACCCTAAACCCTAAACCCTAAACCTGGGGCCCCACACCCATGCAAAGGGCTTGGGGGGCATAGGGTTGAAGTTGAAAAAGATGCATGGGCCTAGCAGGCCCCAAACCTAGACAAACCCTAAACCCTAAAACTCTCAAGGGATTAAGACTCGCACCCACAAGGTCGTGCCCCTAAAGTATACTCCGAATCTGGCCCTTATACTACCTTAAGGACCTGTAAAACGGGCCCCAAAACCCCAAGGGCACAACCACAAGAGTCCAAGGTCCCTAAACCCTAAACCATAAACCCTAAACCTTAAACCACCCCATGCCCTGTAAATCCCACAGTTCCCCCGCCTGACCACTCTTCTGGGCTGCCTCGGCCGCATCAGCAGCACGTTTGGCAGCGTCCTTGACCCAATCCTCACAACGGCTGCGGGGTTTAGGGTTTAGGGTTAAGGGTTTAGGGTTTAGGGTTTGGGGTTTAGGGCCTAGGGTTTAGGGTTTAGGGATCTCACAGCGGCCGCGGGGTTTCAGGGTTCAGGGCTCAGGGCTTGGAATGTCGGGTTTAGGGTGGAATTAGGGTGTTGGACTGGGGGGCTGAATATTTAGTCGTGGAGGCATGAATTATGAGCCCTACGAGGTTTGACCCTCCTAAACCCTAAACCCTAAACCCTAAACCGCCTAAGCTGTCAGGGTGTAGAATTTAGGGATCGGGCTGCTTGCTGAGACTGAGGGTGGGGACCTGGGGAGGAGGGCCTGTGGGCATCAGTTGACATGGCTTTAGGTGGGTTTAGGGTTTAGGGTTTAGGGTCTTTAAAACTTTAGCCAGCGCTCTTCGCCTCTAGGGGACGTGCGTTCTTGGAAAGCTCCCCAAGCCTTCCCCTCACGCGGCGGCCTGGTCTTGAATGTCGCCCGCCATCTGCTGTGCCTTCCGAGCAAGGGTTCAGGGCTTCTCAACCCTAAGGTTTAGGGTTTAGGGTTTAGGGTTTAGGGTTTAGGGTTTAGGGTTTAGGGTTTAGGGTTTAGGGTTTAGGGTTTAGGGCTAGGGTTCAGGGAACCCAAGGCTTTAGGGAACTCGAAGTTTCGGGGCTTACAGAGCTCAGCATCTCGGGGAAACCCTTGCAAGTGAGCGAGATCAACTTTCCCAAGGGTTTTAGGGTTTAGGGTTTGGGGTTTAGGGTTTAGGGTTTGGGGTTTGCGGCGCGCTGGCCATCCGAACTTCGGCCAAAACACGGAGAACACCACCCGAAGTCCGCCGTCCTGGGGGGCTGGGCCTCAACCCTAAACCCTAACCCCGAAATACTAAACCCTAAACCCTAAACCCTAAACCCAAAACTCCAGCCTTGGGGCGTTCCCCCTTTGTGGTGTCAGTGCACATACTCAGAGGCCTTCCAAAAAAGGCATTTCCTAAGTAAGACGGTTTAAAGGGGAACCCCTGATCCTGAACCCCAGAATCCCAAAACCCTACACCCAGACAGCCGGGTTGATCCGACGTATGGGACCTCCATTCTGTGCCCAAACCTACACGGAACACTTCTGCAAACAGAGGCCCTATACAACCCCATCATGTAGAACAACCACCCACTTGACAATCTTTATTCAAGTTCGCACCGATGACGTAGTAAAAGCTTTAGCCCCGCAAACATGAAAGGTGACGTACCCGCTCGATCCTCTGAGGACTCAGGATTCGCAGGTGTTACACCTGGGTGGTTGCGACGACGAAGCCAACCCTACACCCGTGGGCCTGAAAAAAAACTTGAAAATTCCTACGCCCTAAACCCTAAGCCTTGAACCCTAAACCCGTAAACCCTAAACTCTAAACCGGCGGACGCACAGCCCATTAAACCCCCAAAGCCACACCCGAAGATCTCATGACCAGCCTGTGCAGCGTATTCCGAAGCCATCCCGCGATAGTCCACCCTGGCCGGGCTCCGGTTTGGGGTTTGGGGTTTAGGGTGTAGGGTTTGGGGCTTCTAGAACAGGGGGTTTCAAGCTTATACAAGGCTTCAGTTTTTGCTTCGGGATATAGGATATAGGGTTTTGCTAAGGGTCAATGTGCCTCATTATTATGTGCTTAAGGCTTGGGCCCCAAAGTCCCCATACGGGAGGTACTGTAGGAATAGGCCTTCATTTAGGGATTGCAGAGCCCTGCGCCCTAAACTCAAGTTTCGAAGATGAGACGCCTCATAAACCCTAAACCACAAAACCCAAACCCTCTAAGCCCTAAGCCCCAAGCCCGAAACCCGAAACCCCAAACCTCAAACGCCGGCTTTTCGGCTTCAAGGAGTAAGGGCTTCAGGGTTCAGGGTAAAGGGTTCAGGGTGTTAGGGCTGAGGGGTTGCGGGTGGGAGGCTTAGGCTTTTCGGGGTTTCGGGATTACAGCGTAAAACCATAGGGCACAGCGTGAAGGGGGATGCGGCAGTGGGACGTGGGTGCATGAGCTGCCCTCTTTAAGAACCATCTCTCAAGTTGGGTCTCTTCACCTCATATGCTGTTTAAGGGCTTGGGGCTTCAAGGTTCTGCAGCCCATGCAGCTCAAACCCTAAACCCTAAACCCTACATGTGGCTTGCGAGCCAGAGAAGTGGGAGACTTGTAATGTGAACACTGGCAGCACCCAAGGCAGGAAAACCCAAAATATAAACCCTAAACCCTGAACCCGAGCAAGACACCCCTGCAAAGGCCTTGGGCTTTCCTTAGAGACCCAAAGCCTTGAATTTGGGTAGGTCATAACCATGAAGCCCCCCTGTATATTTTGGGATTCTTCGGTATAAGGATAAGAAAGGGTAGATTTTGTGATTTTCAGGCACGGGGCTTAGGTTTCTCAGGGCCCCGAACCCTGAACCCTAAACCCTAAACCCTAAACCCTAAACCGCCTAAACCCTAAACCCTAAGACTCTGCGAGCAGCAGGCATGGTGTGAACACAGCCCGAGTGTCTGCCCAAGCATCTGCTGGAGCTTGGCCGCGCCCTGCAGCAGTTTAGGGTTTAGGGATCAGGGTTTAGGGTTTAGGGTTCAGGGAGGGCTTTAATAAGGTTGGTGGGCATACCGTACAACCGAGCTGGAGGGGAATACTTGGGACTCCGGGCTACCGGCTTCCTTGTCGATGACTCTTGCAGTCTCTATAAGCTACTTTACCCTAAACCCTAAACCCTAAACGCCAAACCCTAAACCCTAAACCCTAAACCCTAAAGCCCTAAACCCCGGACCCGAGACCCAAAGCCCGACCCTCTGACCCCGAATCACCCGAAAAAAAAAAAAAACCTTCATACCCTAAATCCCTAAACCTGAAGACCTAAAACCTACAACTTAAACCTCAACCCAAACCCCAAAGCCCAAACCGTAAACTCTACACCCCAATGACACTTGCCTCTCCGCGGCTCATTGCTTGGAGCAGCTCGCCGCCATCGCCTTCCTCCCACTTCTTCACCTGCCGCAGGGTCTAGGGTTTAAGGTTTAGGGTTTAGGGTTTAGGGTTTAGGGTTTAGGGTTTAGGGTTTAGGGCCCCAAGGGCTTAAAGGGCTCAAAAGGGCTAGAGAGGTGGAGTTCGGTGGGTTGAGTTGGGGGTTGCGGTTGCGGGTTTTTTAAAGTTTTTTTCGGCTGATGGGGTTAGGCTTTCTTGACCTCCTCTTCAGGGCCGGAGGGGAGGGGGAGGGCAGGGGGCGGGGAGCGGGGGTAGCCTTTAGGGTCTATCGGTTTTAAGAACATTCGGCTTGGAGAGACCCACAACCTCCAAAGCTGTTGAAACAGGGAATGTGCCATTATGCTGTTCGAACCTTTGAGAAATAAGACTCCCTGTCTTGATTGAACCGCTGACTTGCTATAGGTTATACTATCGTACTAGCAGGGGGGGGGGGGGGGGGTTGGGGTGTTAATGGCAGGTTCTATAGAAATGTGGGGGTTCCGGCCCCATAAAGCTTGAAAAAGTATTCCAAGTCGATTCCAGACTATCACTATTGCCAATTCAACCCTCGGTCCCTCTCATCCCCCTGACCCAGAGCCTAACAGCATCCCCAGGCTGAATAGACCTAAACCCTAAACCCTAAACCCTAAACCCTAAACCCTAAACCCTAAACCCTAAACCCTAAACCTCAACCCTAAACCCTAAACCCTAAACCCTAAACCCTAAACCCTAAACCCTAAACCCTAAACCCTAAACCCTAAGCCCTGTCCGCGTCGCATGCCTGCGCTTCGGCCTCCGCGCTGGCCTTCTTCGCGCGCTCGTTGAGGAGGCCGAAGACCTTCCCACTTTCAAACGCCGCCCCACCCATGTTACATAGGGTTTCGGGTTTAGGGTTTAGGGTTTGGGGTTTAGGGTTTCGGGTTTAGGGTTTTAGGTTAGGGTTTCGGGTTTAGAGTTTAGAGGTTAGCATTTAGGGTTTAGGGTTTTAGGGTTCAGGGATGAGGGTTTGATTGCGTTTCCCTAGCCCTTCCCTAGATCCTTCAGAGCCTGAAGAGCTTGGGATTGGGGTTTCGGGTTTGCAAGCCTTAGGTTGCTTCCTTGGTGCTTGGTTTGGTGTAGGGCGGCTGTAGCGTGGTTGAGCGAGCGACAGGAGGCTGCCTATAGGGCAATCCTACCTTAGGGACCAAAAGAACCCCTAAAAGGGTTTATGGTCCATATACCTTAATAGGAATTATAGTCTAGGGTATATAGCCCCATTTTTAAAAGAACCCTAAAAGGGTTTATGGTCCATATACCTTAATAGGAATTATAGTATAGGGTATATAACCCCATTTTAGGGTTCATTTCGTCTCCAAGGTAAGAATGAGCCAGATGAGGGGGAAGGGCCAGTCTTCGAAAGAACAAAGGCCCAACGGCTCTAAGCCTCAAGCCTTAAACCTCAACCCCGTGCAAAACAAATCTTGAGCTCAGGGGGGATGTTGTTGTAGAACCCTAAACCCGAAACCCTAAAACCTGAAACCCTAAACCCTAAAGCCTATATAAACCCTAAACCCTAACCCCTAAACCCTGAACCCTGAACCCTAAACCCTGTCCGAAGACAGGCCTGCTCTGCTTCGCCGAGCACCTTCTCTCGATGCTCCTCCTGTACAGGGACCCGATGCCCGCGTTGAACCCACACCTCGAAGAAGAATAGCAACGAAACATACCAAGCTGTATGTGAAGAGGGACCGCCTTATAATAAGCCCCAACAAGGACCAGAAGTTAGTGAACTCACCACATCCGGTCATTTACTAGGGGATAGGTTTAGGGGGGACCCTCGGGGAGAGAGATCCTCTCAACAAGGTCCCTGTTGAAGAGAGCCAGAAAAGGGTTGAGAAGGGTTCCGGGATGACACTGTCTTGGTGCACCCGTCTCCTGCTCCTTGAGCAACTGCTCGTGGTCTTTCCCCGCCTGCATGAGGAAACGGCTTCCTCAGCCCTAAACCCTCAACCCTGAAACCCTAAACCCTAACCCCTTACAACCCTAACTCCTAAATGCTAGCAGCCCTCGTAGCCCCTAAACCCTGCCAGCCCTGTGATCTCAAAAGCGTTGCGGCGAGGCTCTCCAGCCACCAGTACGCAGCGTTGCTGACATCGAAGATACCAACTGCGTGGACCCCCACCACCGTCATATAGGGGGGTTTATAGGGCTTAGGGCTTAGGGTTTAAAGTTTAGGGTTTGGGGTTTGGGGGGTTATCATAGGAGAATTATACGGGGACCATCAGGGAATACTTGTCCTAAATATTGCGACCCCTACAGTATGGACTTAGCGTGTGCCGGCAATCTTCGCCATCCTGCACGTTGGCTGGATCCCAGAAAGATTGTGTTTCTTACTTCTCCAATAACCAAAGGGCAAAAAAACTTAACATTATGATTCCTACTAAAGATGTAAGGACACCGCAAACGTGTCAAGCTCAACCATTGGCTAAGGAAGGTTTCGAAGATCTTTCCTGACAGCGAGTCCATCCTGCACTGTGTGGACAATCTCCTCGTTCCAAGGATGAAAAGGGTGGAGGCTGTTCTGCCCCTTCTTTTGTGGCTCCTCTGTACGCTAAGCTCAACGCGAAGCTCAGGCGGCAGATTGCGGAATGCGGAGGTGCCAGGCGGGAGCAGGCGGGCGCTCACATGGTAAGGAGCCTGTGGTAGGCGGAGCATTGGTGCTCTTTGTGGCCAGAGCGCTCCCCAGACATCACGGGACGGAAACACAAGCCGGTGCACTGCGGACTGCGGTCGGGATCCTGAACGGACCCTAAACCCTAAACCCTAAAGCACAAACCATAAACCCTAAACCCTAAACATTTTGGAGGGCTTGGGGCTGCGAGTTCGAGGTCGAGGTTTGGAGGGCTATGGGTTCAAAGAGCGTAGCCTCCCCCCGCCGCCCCTCCTAAACCCGAAAGCCTGGCCCGTAAACGCCTGAACCTCAATAGCCCTATAACCCTACACTTTCCGGGTTGAAATATGGGGTTTCCGACCATGGGAGTAAGGTTTTAGAATTAGTGTTCAAGAGATTTAGGGTTTAGGGTCTGTCTGGGGGACCGGTGACCTGTTTGGGGAGATAGCCACATGATGGTCCGGATTGGTCCCTTGCTGTCCGATCAGGGGCTTTCAGAAAGCACGGGTAAACCGTGGAGCATTTGAGGCGGGAACGCTACATCCTGAAACCTGATAGAATAATCGTGTTTGGGGTGTAGGGCTTAGGAAGATACTTGCTTCGTCCCCCAGAAGCATAAGATGTGAGAAACCCCAAGCTTTTGGTAGATTACCGCAAACAACAAACACGGTTCTCGACCCGGGAGTAACCTGGGAATAAACAGGGTACCCTTTTTGGTTTTAAGGGGATTATAAGGGAACCCCAACCCTAAAAAAATCAAATAAGGGCCTACTCCGGGTCCTAGGGTTTCATCAGGCTGGCCGACAATTAAAGAAAGAAGCTACGGCGGCTCTCGTCTAGTTGAGCCTACACCCTTAGCCCCAAAACCCTCAACCCCTAGCACCCCACCCAAAAACCACTAAAAACCCTAATCCCTGAACCCTCAACCCCTGAGCCCTGAGCTTTTGACGCGAAACCCCCCAGCCCCTCAACCCCTAAATCTCCGAACCCCTAAAACCCATAAACCCTAAACCCTAAACCCCAAATACCCTAACCCTAAACCCTAAACCCTAAACCCTAAACCCCAAATACCCTACCCCTCAACCAGCTCCACCTCTTGCTGCAGCGACCTTGGGGGGGCGCATTCTTGCAAGAGTGTTCGATTTGGACTCCAAAGTCTCTCGGGTGTATTGGCAGTTTATAGGGCTCATGGGCCTTTTTGTGGATTGTATGTACCCTAAACCCCAAACCCTAAACCCTAAACCCTAAACCCTAAACCATAAGCCCTCAAACCCTAAACCCCAGAACCTCATTTCCTAAACCCGAAACCCCCAAACCATGTTGGGAGGAGTGTCGGGGCCTTGAAAGAGACGGCAGGTCTTCCAGAGTTCGCAGGTATGCGGGGAACCTCATGCATGGAGTCTGGGTAGTTACATGGTCCCTTAGCATGGGCCCTTGAAAGGGCACCCCTTGTATACCACATACAAAGTAGGGGCCCACATGCCTACCCCTAGACTACTAATTGCTTAAGAACACCAAACAAATGAACAATAGTCTTCAGTCTTCCTTATTAAGGCCAATATAGGGATTATTTTTATTTTTTTATTCTTTTGGGGTTCTTAAGCAAATAGTAGTAGATGGCCCCCTTGTAGCTTGCTAAGTTGAGGGTCTTCTAGGGCTCGATTTTGCGGAGTGTAGGGCCTTTACGGTTTGGGGCTTCGGCGCAGGCAACCCTAAACCCTAAACCCGAAGCCCTAGACCCTAAACACTAAACCCTCAACCCTAAAGTGCTTTGACGGAGTGTCGAAAGCTTTAGCATGCTTCAGTAAGTCCGTGGACATGCTCCGGCTCAATGAAAAGCTGGAGGCACCCCAGCCCCCCCTCAAGGTAACTCAGATTCAGGGCTTCCAAGGCTCAGTTCTAAGGGTTTAGGGTTCAGGGCTTTGAGGTTGTACGGGTTTCGAGACCCAACACTGCTATAAACCCTAAACCCCAAAACCCTACACCCGAAGCTCCAAACCCTAAACCCTGATGCCCTACGCTCGTGGGTACATTGCATGGATTCGAGTCCGCTTCCTAATATTGCGGGGGACTCGGTGGTTGCCCCAAAAGTCCTACACCAAAGAGCCTTAAGCTTGGGGACACAAGAAAAGTCATCCCCAAAACCCAAAACCCTAAACCCTGAACCCTAAACCCTGATGCCGACAAGCGGCTGCTGAAGCGCCTGCACTTCGGCACCAGAGGTCTCCTTGACAACGTTGGGATCTTACAGACGATTTGGGGTTGAGAGGCTTAGGGTGACCCACGCTAAACCCTAAACCCAAAACCCATCTAAACCATCTAAACCATCTAAACCCATCTAAACAGACCCGAAACCCAAAACCCCCTTGCGTCCCTCCTCAAGCCTGACCGATGGGTAAAGCCCTAAACCCTAGATCCCTCCACATAGGAGACCGCAAGCCAAGAACCCAATTTTGATCCAAAGACCGCGCCCTAAACCCTTAACCCTAAACCCCAAACCCTAAACCCTGAACCCGAAACCCTGCCCCAAACCCAACTCCAAAGACCTGCGACCCCAGACCCATCTTCGAGAAAAACCACGGGGACTGAGTGAGCAGTTATCTACGGCTAGTTACATGGTCCCTTGATATGAGCCCTTACATGGGTTTAGGGTTCAGGGTGCAGGGTATGTACCCCTTATATAAACCCAAAGGCCCATACTTCAGAACCCTGTGAAGAAGGTAACGGACCGTATCAAGAGACCCTATAGCTTCCCTTAGAAATTCGGGAACTAGCTATATCCCTTCAGTTGCCCTTGAGGGGGTTAGAAACGACCCTCACTCTCGAACTCCCTACTAATGAAGAACTGGTAAGAAAACCCTGAGCCCTAAACCTTAAACCCAAACCCAAGACCCAAAACCCTAAACCCCTAAACCCCCAACCCCTAAACCCCTAAACCCCTAAACCCCTAAAACCACTAAAACCCCTAAAACCCCTAAACCACTAAACCCCTAAACCCCTAGACCCCTAAAGCCCTAAAGCCCTAAAGCCCTAAAGCCCTAAAGCCCTAAAGCCCTAAACCCCTAAACCCCTGAACCCCTGAACCCCTGAACCCTAAACCCAAAACCCTAAACCCACCATCCTAAACCCTAAACCTTAAACCCTAAACCCTAAACCCCAAACCCGGCTCCAGCTACCCAACGCGCGGCCTCGTGGCCCTGCAAGCTCTTCAACTCGGCCTCGGCCTTTCTCAGAGAGCACTTCAAAGAATTAGGTTTTAGGGTTTAGGGTTTAGGGTTTAGCCGTGGGGCGAAGAAAGGCAGCCCAAAGAGACCCAAAATTTCAAACTGCGCCGACTTAGGGTTTTGGGTTTACTTAAACCCTAAACCCTAAAAACCTTAAAAAAAGCACAGCCCATATCGCGAGAATCTCGCGCGCACCTCCAGCCGCCGCTTTTCAGCCTCGTCCTGGCGCATCGCAGGCCATGCAGGGTTTAGGGTTTAGGGTTTAGGGTTTCGGGTTTGGGGGTTTAGGGTTTAGGGTTTGCTGTGATAGGGTGTAGATGCTGTGAAGGTTTGGACGCAGCAGCGGTTCGAATGCCTCGTCAGGTGCGAAGAGCAGTTCTGGCCCGATTGTGGAGGGCCATCTAATACTTGTCTCCCACCCCACGCCGTCCGAGGCGGCAAAACGACCCAAACCTATTCCTTTTAGGGTTTAGGCCTAAACTCATGACAATCGCTTACTTAAAAAAAAAACCTTTCCATCACCGATGGCCACTTTCAGCCAAGGGAAAGGTTTGAGGCCAGGTCCTCAGCTGCATAGAAAAGGAGAGGTTTTAGAGGGTTTGCAGGGTCAGGAGGAGCCATGGAACCAAGGATCAGGGCCGGGCCATGGAGTCAGCGGGTCAGGGGTCCAGAGGGTCAGGGCCAGGGCCAAAGGGGGCCACAGAAGGCCAGGGAGAAAACACTTTTTGAGCACCACCTTCTGGCACAAGGGAGGGGTATTTACTTTATTAAGGGACCAGTACTGGTCCCGACAAAAACGTGTTCCGGTACCGGGCCCATCGTGGGTGCTACCGACCTCCGGGCTGCAGGAGGCGGGCAAGCGACCTGCGTCGACTTTCGCCATAGAGGTCGAAGGGCTTAAGCGCCGCCCCCCTTCTGCAGGGGGGCGGCCTAGGCCCTGAGTTTAGGGTTTAGGGTCTAGGGTTTCGGGCTTAGGGTTTACGGTTTCGGGTTTAGGGTTTAGGGTTCAGAGATGCGGGCCCCTTCAGGACATCCTTTTGACAGGGTTCAGGGCTCACGACTGGGCTTTGGTGGGCTTACTGACCTTCTGCCGAAAATGTTCACCTTTGGTCTGCAACAGGCGGTTTGCGAATACCCGCCCCAAAGGCTTAAGTACTCAGCAGCTAGGTGGGGGGTGGGGGCTTTTGCTGAGCCCTAAACCCTAAACCCTAAACCCTAAACCCTAAACCCTAAACCCTAAAGAGCCACCTTCTTCATTTGAAGAAGCTTCAGCTGGATGTTGATCATGTCCCGCTTGTTGCGGATAAAGAAGGCCTGCCAGCATTGCCCAAAATCAGCCCCCAATCCAACCCCCAGCCTCAAACGTTGTTTAGGGCTTAGGGTTTAGGGTTTAGGGTTGAGGGTCTAGGGTTTATGACTAAACGGATTCCTGCTGAGAATTAATCAAGTCGAGTCAGCCATCACTTGCCTGTCTGCGGATTTCGGGTTTAGGGCTGGGTTTAGGGTTTATCAAACGCAACAACACAAGAATCGGACATAGTGAGCAGTTAGGAAATTTCTGCTCCCCTGGCTGCCATCTGTGCAGGGTGGGTTGGGATGAGCACAGGAAACATATCCACTGAGCAACCCTAAACCCTAAACCCTAAACCCTAAACCCTAAACCTAGAATGGCCTGCACCAGAACTGAGCAGAAGGGAACGCCGAGCCCCAGCCCATCATCAGCCTCCGGCGCGCGTGGGAGTTCGCTTCTTGCCGCTATCATGGGAGTTTAGGGTTTATAAAGGCACTGTTGGGGTTAGGGGTTTATTGAATTATTCAGGGTTCAGGTCCCGGGAAAGTTTCGAGGAGTTTCGAGGAAAGTTTCCAGGAAAGTTTCTGTTTTGAAATTTTTTGAATAACTCCAAGTTACAGGGGCTTGAGGTTTGAGGGTTTAGGGTTTAGGATTTAGGGCTCATGAAGGCATTATAGGCCAGGGGTTCAGGGTTTTGGGGGCGGGGCAGCGTCTTAGGCTTGCGTGGATTTATGGTTTGCGGCTTAGGGTTTGGCGGTTTGGGGGGGGGGGGGGGGGGGTTGAGGGCTTGTCCTGCTTTACGATACGAGCCTGAAGTTATGTATCCAGAAAAAAACGAACTGGCCTAGGGTTTAGGGTTCGGGTTTAGGGTTCGGGTTTAGGGTTTAGTTTGGGTTTAGTGTTTATGGTTTGGGGTTTGGGGTTTAGGGTTTACGGTATAGGGTCTACGGTGTGGGTGAGGGCTGATGTAATCTACCAGACACTAAGGGCCAACTCTAACAACCCCGAAGCCCTAACCCTAAACCCCAAACCCTATACCCTAAACCCTAAACCCCAGACCCTAAACCCTCAATTCCCGAAGCCTAGAACCCGCGACGCGCGGCAAGTGCCGCGATTGCCCGCCTTGCTGGCCGCGCTGAGGAGGGATATTTGCAGCCCTGGCCACGCGTTGTGACAACTAAACCTTCCCTCAAACCCTAAGCACCCCACACGCCCTAAACACCCTAAAAACCTGAAAACCCTTAACCTTGTATGGTTGCAGGTTCGGGCATGCCTTTTGTATTTTCGGGTATCACTAATTAAGCACGTGAAGCCCTACCAATAACGCCTCAAGCGTCAAGTGTTGAACCCTAAAACAGGGACTACTCTGGGTCCTAGGAGTTGTTTCATGAGCCTAAACCCTAAACCCTAAACCCGAAACCCGAAACCCGAAACCCTAAACCCTAAACCCTAAACCTAACAAGGGCCTTGTCCCTGCAGGAAGCGCCCCGCAAAGAAGAGCACCACATTGAGCCTTCCGAAGCACGAGTTTCAGACGCACATGCTTTCTGCGCTTGGAGCCTGACACTTTAGGGTTTAGGGTTTAGGGTTTAGGACTTGGGGACGCAGAAGTAGTGGCCCAGAGCCCATGTGGGTGAGGACACCTCAGTGTGGAGACCAAGAGAACTGGGGCAGCTTGCCGGCCGAATGTGGTCATGCACTTCAAGTGCTTCTGTTGATTTGGTGTAGGGTTCAGGGTTCAGAGTTCAGGGTTTAGGGTTCAGGGTTCAGGGTTTAGGGTTCAGGGTTCAGGGTTTAGGGCTTGGAGTCTGGGGCTTAGGGTAAAGGGGTATAATCAGGCTCAGGGTTTAGTTTAAGGTACAAACCCTAAACCCTAAACCCTAAACCCTAAACCCGGAAACCTTTCGGGCTCGAAGCTTGTCATCCCTAAGCCCGACCTCTCCCACTCCCAAAACCTTCCTCGACTCAAGAGTGGGGTTTAGGGTTTAGGGTTTAGGGTTTAGGGTTTAGGGTTTAGGGTTTAGGGTTTAGGGTGTAGGGTGTAGGGTTTAGGGTTCAGGGTTTAGGGGTTTAGGGTTTAGGGTTTAGGGTTTTCGGGTGGCCCAGGAGTAACCCAGGAATAAACAGGGTGCCCTTTTTGGTCTAAAGGGGTTCATAAGGGAACCTAAACCCCTTCAGAAAAGATAATAAGGGCCTACTCCGGGTCCTAGCCCTAAACCCTAAACCCTAAACCCTAAACCCTAACCCTAAACCCTAAACCCTATTTTTGGCTTTACGCGAGGAATGGACATTCGCCGGGTGCCTACGGTCCCCTGAACCCGGAACGTTAAGGACCCTGGCCCGAGCCCAAAACCCTAGTAACCCTAATGACCCCCTAATGACCCCCTAATACCCCTAATACCCCTACTACCCCTAATACCCCTAATACCCCTAATACCCCTAATACCCCTAATACCCCGAATACCCTTAATACCCCTAAACCCTCAGCCCCACATACCCGAAACATCCTGAAGCCGTTAAAGCCCTGTAGGGCCAAGCTGGAGATTGAGAAGGCGGCACGACAGGCACGATGAGGATCAAGAAGAGGATGAACTCAGCACCGCCCGTTCGCTTGTCGAGTGGGTTTAGGGTTTGGGGTTTAGGGTTTAGGGTTTGGGGCTAAGCCCGAAACCCTACAAACCCGATAAGGTCTAGAACAGCGCTGCGGTTCAGCTCGTAGTCCCTCTGCTCTCTGCTTATGTGCACACTGCCGCAAACATGTAATGTTCCAGTACACTTTACCGTCACTTTACCTCAGCGTGCGGTTCAGCAATGTACCCTGATCCGCTGCTTCTGTGCACACCGCCGCAAACATGTGTTCCAATACACTTGACATCAACGAACCCTAAACCCTATAGGGTTTAGGACTTAAGGCTTGGGATTCAGGGTTTAGGGTTTAGGGTTTAGGGACCCTGAACTCTAGACCCCATAAACCCTTCACCTCCCTGCGTGTGAGCCCTGGATTGGGAAAAAGCTATTGATCAGCTTCTGCTAAGGGTGTGCCCTAAGGTTTAGGGTTTAGGGTTTAGAAGTTGGGTTTCGAAGTTTAGGTGCTATTTAGACGAGATTTGTGGGGTCTAGGGCGGCACATAATACCTTGTGCCATCCAAACGCTTTCCCCCTAAAATGCCTATGAGCAGACGGTCACATGCTAGATCCCAGGGTAACATAGGAATAAACGGGCACCCTTCATTGTTTAAAGGGCTTTATTGCGGGAACTCCTCAACACTGAAAAATGATAGGGTTCAGGGCTTATTGCCTGGACCCTGTATCCCCTTGAGGTGCGGGCACGAATGCGAAGAACCACCATGCCAACATCTGCAGCATGTGGCTCCATTTAGCAACATTGGTGGGGGGGTAGGGGGGAGGGCAGGAGGGAGGTTGTTCTCATTATGGCCTATTGGGGGTCCGACGATCATACGGGGACCTCTATCTAGGGTACCCAAAATAAAGGGTTGAAAAACCACCCAAATTGGATTGACCTATAAGCTCTGAGTCCATAAAGTCTACCTTAAGAGCACAACGACATTTTCCGGTCATGATTAAAAAGCCGCTTAGATGGCTCTTCCGTACGAGCCCAAGAAGTGTATTCGGCTCTTCAGGCAGAGGTGATGGGTCTCTGTTCAAGCACGTTCCCTCCAAAAAGCTCCAATCTCCCTTAATGAAGGAGTAGTACTCATGCATATCATGCGTCTGTCAACGCTTTGCCTTCAGGCCGCAAACACTGCAACAGTAGTTAGATGCCTGAAAATGCACGCTGGCACGCCTGGGTCGCTCTAGATAGCCAGTCGCTCGACAGCAGCACTTGAAAGCCCGACGTAGCACAAGCCCAGAGGTATGTGTATGATGTATGTATGTGTATAGATAGATAGATAGATAGATAGATAGATAGATAGATAGATAGATAGATACATCTATAGATACATTATATACACAAAGACCCGTATTATACTTGACGGAATGTTCTTGATTACGCTTTATTGCGCCAGCAGGGGCCAAGATCAGACAGGGCGGGTGTCCTTCAAGCCATGACGATGTGGGGTTTAGGGTTTAGGGTTTAGGGTGTAGGTTAGGATGTTGCCCCACATACTAACAGTCCTTAATTGGGATTGTGATAGGGTGTTAAATAATCCCCGACCAGGGCACCTTAAACCCTAAACCCTACACTCTCATTAAGGATCCGGGGGCGCGAGCTAGTGTCGGCTCCCCGGGCACGGGGAAAGTTGCAATCCCTAAGCTCTAAACCCTAAACCCTAAACCCTAAACCCTAAACCCTAAACCCAACACTCCCAAGACATGAAAGGACTCACGCCAACACTGGTCGAGTACAGCATGTGCCCGTATACCCTACTTGAAGGCTTCTAAGCAGGGCTACAAGTACCCTGTTTAGGGCTTAGGGTTTAGGGTATAATATAACCATACTAAACCTAATTATTTCTAACCCTAGTGATCAGCACCGATGAGCCTCCAAGTTGACTCTAGCCCAAGCCCCCTTGGTCCGAAGTTGGGTTGCCCAGCATGAACCAAAAACACGGACGCTTTTGGCCCGTAGTCGGAATGAAAACCAAAGGTCAAAAGGGTGACCCCAAAAAGGAATGAGAACCCAATCTGCGGGCCTATAGTAGTGGGATTACAAGGGACCCTGACTTGCAAAAATAGGGACAAAGGGAGTGAGACAACGAGGAAATAGGGAAATCAGTGCATAAAGGTACACGTACGACGGGGAATCCCTAAACCCTAATACCCTAAACCCTAAACCCCAAACCCTAAACCCTAAACTAAGGAATCCTAGAGCCCTCTAAGCCCAAACTGCAGCTCGCGTATAAGGCCGGGACTTGCGCACAGCTTCCACGGGGTGTTGAGAACTACGTCGCCTGCAAAGCCGATCCACAACCTGAATCACGCAGGGTTTAGGGTTTAGGGGTTAGGCTTAGGGTTTAGGGTTTAGGGATGATGTAGCGTTTAGGGTGACAGTGAGGCTACGCCCCCAACCGCATCTCAGGAGGCAGACCCTAAAGCTCACCAGGCCCGGGGTTTAAGACTTGGGGTTTAGGGATTTAGGGATTTAGGGTTTAGGATTTAGGGTTTAGGCCTTCGGGAGGTAGGCCCTGCTTCTCAAGTCATTTGTACTCGGCAGACATACGTAATTTGCAGTCCAAACCCTAAAGCCTAAACCCCAAACCCTAAACCATAAATCCGTGGGCGTTCCATGGATGGAGCAACCAGGGGCTGGTCTAGGCACCCTGGATCCTAAACCCTAAGCCCTGAACCCGAATCTAGCCTCAATTCCACACTAAGGACACCAAGCTCCCAACCTGGGACAACGAAGGCAACTATTATGGTATAGGGTTTAGGGTCTAGGGGTTTAGGGTTTAGGGTTCCACAGAGACACTTGAGAACTTCTCTAAATTATGGTCTCTGTCTCGGGGTTACCAGTCTGAGGCGGTTGAGGGTTCAGGGTCTAGGGTTGGTACCTTTTTGGGGTTACCAGGCGGCCCCGAATACCTAGGGCGGCACCCAACGAGGGCCACAGTTTTCAGAAACCCTCAACCCTAAACCCTGAACTGTAGTCTTTTGGGATATCTAAAGTCCCTCAATTCTTGCAGGGTTTAGGGTTTAGGGCTTATACAGGGTTCAGGGTTCAGGTTTTAGGGTTTAGGGTTTAGGGTTTAGTTAAGAGTTAAGACCTTATTTGGGCTTAAACTCCCATGAAACTTCAAGCACACGTGGTCTAATTGTGCCACGCAGGCGCCTAAAGCCAGGAATTTCTGAAGCACAACTAGCCCAACCAGATGGGCATTTCACAAGATAGGTGTGCCCCCAATATGTCCCCAAAGACTATAATCCTCAGAATAGGAACCATAAAAGGATACCCCACTTTCGGAAACCCCCCATATGTGAGCCTCTTAACCTTAACCGTAACCTACGAGGCCTCATTCGGCATTTCCAATTCTTCCAATTCGCCGAAGCTCCACAAGCTCCAAAAAAACGACCCAAATCGCAGCCAAAAGGCAGGTTGAAGACCACTGACCTTTGTACTCGTGAGGATCTCAAGGGATTCAGGGATTCCAGAAAGATTTGTTGCCACGCTGGAGGGAGGGCGTGGGATCTTGGAGGGGGCTTAGGGGTGAGTGTCAAAGATTGGGGAAATCCCCTGGCTGAGATATATTTCCGACAATAGGGGTACCCCTTACATAAAACCCTAAACCCTAAACCCTAAACCCTAAACCCTAAACCCAACCCATGAACCCCAAAAAGGGTACCCCAATTGTCCGAAACCCCCCATATGATGAGGCTCCTCAAGGGAGGTGGTGAGGCTCCCTAAGTCCGAGTTTAGGATTTAGGGTTTAGGGTTTAGGGGATACAGCACCAAGCTCTAACCCCACAACGCCACAAAGCTTGCAAAGGCGGAAGGAAGCGTTTCAGCTACCAACTTCCACTCTCTCCACCCCCAAACCAAAAAAAACAACTCAAGAGGTTTAGGGTTTAAACAGCCTAAAGGGGTTTAGGGTTTAGGGTTTAGGGTTTAGGGTTTAGGGTTTAGGGTTTAGGGTTAGGGTTTAAACAGCCTAAACCCCTGAACGCCCCCTGAGGCCTAAACTAAACACTAAACCCTCAAGCCCATGTTGAACTCTTGAAAGGTCAAACATGCCTCGCCACGAACGTCTCCTCGCAACTCCCCGAAACTTTCCCCGAACCTGAACCCTGAATGAATGCCAATGCCAAAGCCCAAACCCTAAACCCTCAACCCTAAACCCTAAACCCTAAACCGCCGTTGCAGGCCAGAGGCCAGTTTGACAGCGCGTACAGGTAGGAGCCGCTAACGCTGTCCACCCTTAGAGATGATAGGGTTTAGGGTCACAGGGGTTAGGGTTTATAGGGTTTAGAGTTTAGGGTTTAGGGTTATTATGGCTAGGTTCAGGGTTCTAGGGTTTAGGGGTTAGGGGGCCGACGTAGGGTTTAGGTCCACGCTTAGGCTCAAGAAAAAAAGAACGCTGACAAGTTTTGGGAGATTCAGGGAACCCCAGACGCTAAACCCTAAACCCTAAACCTCTACTTTGACTGGGGAGCCTTCTCCTAAAACTGCTGGCACGGGGTCAGGGGATCTAGGGCATGGCATTCCGGGGTTAAGAGCAAGAGGGTTTAGGGTTTCGCGTTTAGGGTTTAGGGCGCAAGCCCCCCACCCTGAATCGCAGCGTTCGTATGATCCAAGACCCAGGGACTCCGTGTAACGAAGCATGAAACTTACTTCCCCCACTGACCTCAGGGAGTGTCTAACCCTGAGCCCTGAACCGTGGACCCTAAAACCCTACATGTATCCAGAAATTCGACTTGTGTGCAGAAGCTCAGAGTTCTTGGAGAAAAAAAAGGAGACCCGCACACCCTAAACCTTACACTACCCGAAAGGATCCCATTATGGAACAACCAACACTTGGCCTGCACTGCGATTGAGGGCTTAGGTGTTGGTGCTGATCTGATGGCTTAGCTAGGACTTGCAGCCAGACCTATGACCCTCAACCCTAATTGAACCCTAAAACCTTAACCCTAAACCCTATAAGCCCTAAGCCTGACTTGCGAAGGAGGCACTTGAGAATGGCTTGTGAGCCAGTGTTCAGGTAGTACGCCAGGAGCGACCGGAGAACTGCGCCACCAGCAGTGCTAGGGTTCACGGGTTGAGGGTTTAGGGATGAGGTCAAAGTTCAACTAGAGGCCAGCTTTAGGGTCTGGGGTTTCGGGTTTAGGGCGTTCGTGCTTTGCAGTCTTTCGGGCTTGCAGGCCTGAATGTTTTATGCGCTGGCTTAAGTGTCTGATGTTTGGAGGGCTTAAGTCCTAGACCTAGGACCCCAGAAGTCCAGGATAGCCCGGGCTTCCAGATTGAATTTCTCTTCGGGTTTGGGGTTTCGGGTTGAGGGTTAGGGTCGAGGCTTAAACGAGATAAACCGCAACCCCTAACCCTAAACCCTAAACCCTATACCCTAAACCCTAAACTCAAAAGCCTAAACCCTAAACCCCAAACCCTAAACAATAGACCGCATCTTCCCCCTCCAGATGCCTTTGACCGGATCATCTTGCAGCTCGATGACGGGGGGGCTGTTGAGCTCCTGGCAGCTGGTATTTAGACAACAATAAATACAAAGGTTTAGGGTTTAGGATTTAGGGTTTAGGGTTTGGGGTTTTGGGGTTTGGGGTTTAGGGTTTGACCTTGGGATGTTCCCCCTTCTACTAACAGTCCTTAAAAGGGATTCCAAATGGGGGTTCTGTAGAGTTTTGGGCGTTCAAGGCGTTTAGGGCTGAGGTTGGGATGTTTCCCCTTATACAAGCAGTCCTTTAATCCCTGTGAAGAGCTGTTAGCGTAGGGGGGAACATCCCAACCTTCAACCCTAAACCCTAATCCCTTAGAACCCCTACCCAAACCCCCCAAATTATGGAACATAATGGCACTTGGTTTTTGGGTGTCGTTTAGATACTTTGGAGGTCCAGATAAGCCCGAAACCCTAAATCCAGATCGCTTTATACCCTCACCCCTAGACCCTAGACCCCAAACCCTAAACCCTAAACCCTAAACCCCAAGCCCCAAACCCTAAACCCGAAACCCCAAACCCTAAACCCCTAGCCCAAGCAGCCTGATGCCGGAGGGTTGAGGGTTTTGGATGAACCTTCAGAGACAACAAACAAACCTACAA